TTTTATGCGTGAAACTAGGAGATGGGGAGAAGGAGGTGGTTCTGCTCTATAAAGGATGTCATCAGTCAGTCGTAGCAGACCACATTTGGTTCGGACATGCGGTGCCATGCCAGATAATTCCGCTAGTTCTTCATTTGACTGTTTTTCATTCCCATGAAGCTGGTGTGAGTAAACAGGCTGTATGCGGGTATCAGTCTCTTGTTATGATGCCCAGTTAACATCTGCGGGAGCATTAAGTACATCGTCCACTCTCAAAACAAAAGTTAGCGGCAGGTGGAACAGGACGTCTACTGTAGTATGCCGAGATCCTGGGAGGTACTCGCAGGTGAAATCGAACGCTTGCAAATGCTCCTGCCAACACGCTACCGGTTCATATGGTTCATAGAGCTTTTTAGGCCACTGTAACGCGCCATTGTCGGTGCGCACTCTTAAGGAGCTCCCAAGAAGATAATATTTAGGGAAATGAAAGCAAGCCATAATTTCCCCCCTTGCAACGGAATAGCATGCTTCAATTGTTCAGTTAACGATTGGCGTATGCAGCAACATGCTTCCGATAATCAGTCACCATTTGAGATACGGCGTTCCCTGTGGTACTGGCACTGGCGTCCGAAATGAAAAGACCAGCAGATAATGACGTATCTGGATACTCTAGGATGGGTGATGAAGTAAAGTTCTTCTTTAACCATTTAAATGCATGTTGTCACTCAGTAGCTCAAAGGAAATTTGCATCCTTTTTCTGTCAGTTGATGCGACGCGAGAGTGACGAAACTAGAACTAACCGGTAAAAATACAACAGTGACCCTGGAAAACTATGGACTCCCTTGTGTAACTGAGGTATTTACCATTTGGCGGTAAGTTGGTATTTCTCTGGGTATGTGCAGATATTGTTGTGTGAGGTACTGTGGCTCAAAAATGTGCTTTCTTTTCACAGAATAATGCACTTAGGAGGTTTTGAATTTGAGCCATTTGTTCTTGGGCGCGTAAGTTATCAATATGATCCCCCACGGACTTTCCACCTCATATATATTGTCGAGATAAATTAGACATATGTGGGAACAACCTATCCGGAACTACCTGTCTCAATCTTTGGGATGTGGCTAAGGCATTACACAGTCCAAAAGTCATTGTGCTGAATTCACATAGTTCAGCTGGAAATATAAATGCAGTCCTCTATATTCACTTTCACTTATCAGCGCCCAGATGCCACGTATAGGGTAGAGGACAACTGAAGTCCGGTATGTGCTCCAAGAGTTGTACCAGTGCCAGGGATTAAGAAACAATCAGGTCTTGTCTCTGTTTTCAGTTTACGACAGCCTGTACACATTCAGAGGAAACGAGTCCTTCTTTGCCAAGACTACAGGTGACGCACATGGACAGGATGATGGTACAATGTTTTTCCTACTCGACATGCCTTGTATCAAACTAACTCGATGAGCTTGACAGTGGATGGGATTTCTCTGGGTGGCTGATGCTTAGGCAGGTGAATCCCAGTGTCATTATGGTGATGTACTAACTAATTGCGTCCCATGTCATCCCTTTCATCAAACATTCCAAAATTTCAAGACTAAGTTATCCTCAAATAAGGTCAGGGGCAGGCATATTAATGGGAACCTTACTGAGGATAGAGGACACAGTTAAGTTTGACTCAGAGTGTATCTATTGTTGAATGGAATATTGGGTATAACGACGGAGTAGATGGTAATTTGTCTGTAGGCGACGTCTGCGAGATAGAGTACGATATGGGAAGATTCACGCTAACGATCAGATAGTGCATAATCTAAGCAGATTTAAGGAACGAGTTGGTGACACTAAGATTATCGAGGTTTGTCTGTAGGCTCGAGCTTCCATCTTGGAGACATTAGCTGACATAAGGACGTTAAGAGTCAGTGTTGATGGTTGGTATTGGGGTAAACGGAGGAAAAATGTCGTATTTACATGGGCAGCGACGCGTCAGTAACCGAAAGTATTTTATAGGGCACTCCACTGATGCGTTCCCATATCATTAGTTGCTCACTGTTAGATGAATATGTAGAAAAACTATTAGGTTGGTAACACCTAGTTGGGCCTTGAAGTTGTGATTATACTTAGACGCCTTGGTACTTAGCCATCTACAATCCAAATGACTGGACCGGCTGGTGTTTCCAAATTACTGTCGGTTACGTAAAGGAACATTGCAGCGGAATTCGTTAGCGCAGGCTGCAGTTGGTCATGCAGGAGCAGCACAGAGTAAGATGTGTAAATCGCATGAGTGTATTACATCCCCATGGGTGTCAAGACTAGCCGCCATACTATGAAGGACGAAAGGCAATCAAGAAGGTTCTCTTCAGGAAATTGTTTTAGGCTAATTTTGAGATGCCGCATCATAAGTAGTCAACTACAAACCTAAACAGGTGCCCTGCGGATCCTAATTTCACTTCAGGAATTCATGCTGCGAAACGCACTAGCGTCGGTTTTTCATCGGGAAGGGCAGCGGGGATGTGAGCATACTGGCCATATGGCAGAACTGTTCAGCCTAGGCCACCTAACACGGTGGCCATACCACCCTTGACACCACCCCAACTAGCGAAAGGTGAATGTAGCACTTACGGCTGCCGAAAGGTGTGTTTAATGACGCCGATTCTCAGAGTGTATAAGAAGATAATCACACCACAAAGAAACTACCGATCTCTTGTCGTCTGAAAAGTATACAGACCAACATGCCCTTCAATCTGGAAGGATAGAGAACCTGATCATTGACGGTGAAACGACTGAGGCTCAATTGATTTGACGAATTTCTTTGATCCCCTACAGTTCCATACTTCATCGGCTGATGGGTTGTTTGCAGAAGGACAGTGATACTTGGTAGGTGAATTTGATGGCAGAATTCCATAGAATCATTATAAGAACATGTTTAAAAAGAAAAAAATTGGACAACAGAATGGGCTATTCAGACACCAAATGAGGTAATATTCTCTGCTCGGCCCAGTTCCTCTCCTGAATTTTCCTTCACTGAATTCTTGGTTTCTTAATGTGTGAATGGATTTTTGTTGTACTGAAGTTATTAGCAGATCACTTGGCAGGGAGAAAATTTTCCCATATAGGGAAGTTTTAGAAAGTATATTTCCTAAATTGGTACTTAGAGCTGATTGCAACTGTCGAAGTTGTATCACTGACTCGTTTAACAGGCTCCATTCGAGTTACTTATTTTCAAACCTCTGCTTATATCCAGCTAATATAACAGATTTCACCAGCGACGACTGGGAGGAATACTGTCCTGCAGACATGCTGACTGTATGTGGCGTTTTTCGCTTTGGAAAGTTTATTTTACATCTGGTATAAACTCCCATTTCTCTAAGTTTATACTCATAAAGAACAATATTAAATCCAGGTTTTCAAACAAAATTTACTGTCAATTTTTATTTTATCTCTACACACCATATAACTGACTGTTTGGTACGATATTCGTATGTGGTAAGCGTAACGATATCATCTTTATTAATTCTGATTAGTATAGATTATAATAATCACAAACAGAGCTGTTCTAAAACGCAGTTAATATTAATAACGTGACATTGGTCTTTACAATATAATCCACAATTACTCACTATCCCTCTTCTCATAGTCATTTAGCTGAAGTGATTTGGCAACCCTTCATCCTAACTTCATTGACTTTCAAAAAGCCTTTAAAAGGTTGGACGATGAAGTGGCTTGGAAACAGCTTCAACAAAACGGAGTTACCCTCAGTGAAACTCTCTAGGGTATATTTTACAAGAAACGCTATTATCATTCTTGGTTATTTTGCAATTAGAGAAATCGGAAGGACGAGACAGGTAACAAAGTATGAACGATGTCTTTTTTATTCTTTGTGAGGCTGTTTTTGTCATTTGGACGGTACTGAATGATGAATCTCCTCCACGTGTTTGCTTAGGCCTCCCCACATTTTTCGCTGACCAATGTGTTTTGAAGATTAACAGTTATCGGTCGATAATCCGGGTAATTATTTTAATAGAGGAGTCGGTTACCAAAAATTAACTAAGACTTCGATAAGAAGACAGAATTAGGACAAGACTGTCTTTTCCTGATTGTAAGGGACTGGATAGTGTAGGAGACTGCGGAAGTGAGAAAGGAATACATTGGACCGGTAAGTAGGCTGCATGCATAATTCACGTGTAATGTCACATAAACTTGAACGCCTACAGGAGAAAACTAATAAGTCTTCAGAAGAAGCAGGGAGGACTAAAGTTCAGACAAATATAGGGAAGGCAGAGATGGTCACAACATCTGACCAACGAAATGAAACAAACAGCAGTCAAAGCCAAGGGAGTAAATCTTAATTAGGTCAGTTTTTTCGCTTGTGTGAGCGGCATAGTTTCAATTACAGGTGACACATTTTAGGACTATAGGACAGGATCAGAAAAGCAAGAAGAAGATTCACTATTCTGATATAAGTATGGAACGCTACTGCAATAAACATAAAGAACAATATCTGAATTTCCAACACTTAAAGTAAACTAAATACTTCCTGAAATTTGCATAAGTCGCTTTTGTGCTCCTATTTTCATAGCCGTATGGAATAGAGCACAGGTTCAGGATGCTACAGGTTTTGCTCATTTCAAGTAACATCATCGCTTAATGGTGAAAAATAACTGAGGAAATTAGTGTTGTCGTTTATTTTCTAATTCAAATAAGTTTTGTACGTAGCAGTTGGTGCTTTGTGACAACTTTTGCTGGGAAGCATATAAAAGCTTCTAAGCAGCCTGCATAATTTTCAGTGAAACTAGACAAGGGTCATTGTTTATAGCGTAGCACTTTTCATGAATACTCAGTCTGTTCAGTTGTATTTTCAGATAGGACATAGTAATGTATTCCAGGGTGCTTTCAATCCGGTTCACCTTTGCAACTACACTCCTTTACGTCTGAACGATTCTGTAATTTTGGAACCTAAGGTATTACCTAACTCTGTTAGGTAAAGACGCAATTATATTCGACAAGCATGCGAAATTGATTTTCTGAAAGTTCACCTGAATTGACAAATTTGTACCATGTTTGTTTAAATCAACTAAATTTCATTGTCGGTATCGATGCTTCCTTTTGTCCTAGCGTCTTGACAAATAGCCAGATGGAAACTGAAAGAAGTGACAGACTTTTGCAAGAGAAGGCAAAAAAGCAACTTACAAAGGATTTGAAACCTATAGAAAAGCTCAGATATCAGTGTCTTTCCCGTGGTGCTTCAGGAATAGCTGGGATTAGTAGGTAAGTTTTGAAATTAATTTATTTTCATTGATGTTTAAATCTTTTCTTAACAGACAGTTTCGTATTATCGATGATGACGGAAATAAAAAGCTTGACTTCAGGGAATTTTCTAAAGGATGTAGAGACTTTGGCGTGGACTTAACCAAAGATGAAATTAAGGAAATATTTGATGAGATAGACACTGACCAGAGTGGGTTTATCGACTTTGACGAATTTTTAGTATCATTAAGAGTGAGATCAACTTTTTAACTAAACTTCTTAGCCCCCTATGAGTAAATGCAGGACTGACGTGCTGAACAAGGCTTTTCTGAAACTAGATAAAACAAAAGATGGTATTATAACTGTAAGTATCATCCTTTGGTTATTTTTTTTCAAACTATAAGTCTTTAAAGTATGAATAATTATTTTCCTTTTCTACCGTCACTGAAATCCTGCATAAATGAAAGCATTTTCTAACTTAATGTCGAAGTAGATATTAGCTACATAAATCATAAGATCGCAATCCTTGCGTCAGCTATGTAGTATTTGTGCTTATTTTCACTTTTTTGAGGCACCTTAAATTGTGGAAAGCTCAAAATATTCACTTTTAAGTTGGCCAAAGCTGTTGTGTAATTAGTTTAACTAGTTAATCAGTGTACTAACTGACTTTGAGTTTGAATATTATTACTGGGGATCATGAAAAAATGAAGTATGTTTATTCTTGGATTACATTCTACTGGGAGGAAAGGGTTTGAATCTTTCAAATATTTATGCCTTGTCATACAGGAAATCTCATAAGTAATTAAACTGTACGTTGTCGTGAAATGTGTTGTTGAAGGTGATATTAAAATCCTCGAAAAAATTATCACGGGATTTGTCAATACATTTTCGGGAGAAAAACCTAATTTGTTGAGTAACAGCGAATCACTTCCCTAGCTTTTAGTTTGACGTTTTAGAAATGTGTTTCTATTCCTAAGGTTTCCAGACTCAAAAGCCGATGGTTGAAACTAGGTAAGTGCATATAGCTGACTGAGACAGATGACGTTATAAAGGTGGCGGAGTGGTTAGGACTCTCGCCGACCATGCACATGGTCCGAGGTTCGATCTCCTGCCGACGCACACCTGATATCTGTGGTCGGCCTGCAAAATTTGGGCTACCGATATCCACGCTGAAAATTCCATACTTGTACCAAAAATACAGTGTGAAATCAAGCTGTAAATCAAAAATAGAAAAATATATAGTGGTTACTATTTTGCAAATAGTGAAACAGCTAGAAACTGTTCAGAATGTCTTGTTGATATAAGTATAAAGCTTGAGCACTGTGGTCTTTTGTGTGTCTAGTTCATTTTTTGTCTTTTTCTCATTCAGAATGAGTAAAATCACTGGTAATGTACAGTTATCGGTATCTTTAGTTTAGTTTCCATAATGATTTTTATAGCTGTAATAAACAAGGTGCAGTTCTCATGTAGTAGTTTGAGCAGTGAAGTTCAGTGTTGGATAATTAAAATATCTTTTCACCGTTTTACGCTTACCAACTTGTTGCTTCAACAATCCCAGTCAAAGTTAAATGAAAAGGCTCGAGTAAAAATGTGGGTGATATGTTCAGCACACTTAAACTCGAAAGGTGCTATCAGTAGACAAACAGATTAAGCTGTATAAAGAAACCGACGTGCGTTTTCTTTGTTAATAAGCAAGTATATAGTGTAAATGGTATGCTTTATTGATATGTGCGAATTGTGAAGTTACTATCTCTGAAGAAGAATAGACTGATTTCCAACAACGAAAAGCATTCACACTTCACATTAACCAAATTCAAAATTCAGTCAAATTCCTTACATAGTGATGAATTCTACCTGACTGAATAAACCGTACCATTTAATACTATAGCTTGTCTAGAAGGCTTAAAAAAACGAGCAATAAAATTATCAAGTATTAGAAAAGAAAAATATGTATGACATGATGTATAAGAGATGTCACCTTGACTCAGCAGCCTATTATATCACAGCAGGGTTCTTTGCAAAATTATCCAGATGACTAATTCCGATTAAGGTTAGATATGCATGCTGAATTTATCTGCTAGGGACACTTTAAAGAATAACATCGGAGCCGAGTTTGGTATGATGTGAAAACTTTCTTTGAAGAGGAGTGATCACTCTGAGTGAATAAGCCGGACATAATAAAAATCAAAGCAATATTTAATAACATTTTTACACATGTTTATTCAAAAAAGTACAACGCTTATTTTTGCACGTATTTCTATGTATAATTCCACTCTTCGCATTTGCTTTCCATACGAAGTGTGTAGACATGAGTGGAGTACTAAGCTGTTATACTTTCACGTGAAACGAATAATTTTTGTCTTGTTTAAAATCCCTGGCGTCACTTCGAGTAGAATATAGGAACACATTTTATATTAAACAATAATTCAATGTATAGACGCATAACACAATGTGCGATTTCGCATAAAATTCCATCACTTTAACTTGCTATACTTTCTCTTTGGTAGTTATTCCTCAACTGTTTGTTATAGCTGCTCATAGCTCTGAAAAGGATTGAACATCTAGGCTCGGCTTAATAACGGAATTTTCAAGAAGTCAGATACTTCACAGTTTCTTTTAAGATTTCCAACAAAGTTATCGCCTTCATTACAAACTAGATACTACTCATTGGATTATTAAAAATTGTTATAAACTCTTAATGTTATATTTCAGATTGAAGATTTGAAAGGTACTTACAATGTGAAACACCATCCAAAGTATATTAATGGTGAAAAAACTGAGGATGAAATATTAGTGGAATTTTTGAAAACTTTCCAACCTCAACAAAATGCAGATGAAGTAGTAAGTAGTTACCACAGCAGAAATTTATTTATATCCTATTTCAACCATCCACATATTGACGCTTTTAATTTTGATAGAACTACCTGTGATTATTGTCAGAATTGCACATTTTCTAACTGTTGATTTCCGCTTTACAACGTTGAAAGGTTTTCAAACCTGTTCAGTAATTAGAAAGATGAGTATGCTGATTAGTATTTTCCCCTGTACTAATCAATTCACACTGTGCCATTGATACAATAGTTATAATTTATAATCTACTGACCAGTCATTTGGGTGTAATCAGGGTCATATTTACCAGATCTTAATGCTGGCTGAATACTACTAGTCACATTTACAATTCGGTCGAAGAGTTAGCAGGCTTGTCACTAGGGCCTGCTTTATATATATATATATATATGCGGCAGTTCAGTCTGCTACACCACATAAAGCAAACATGAATACCTATAGAGAAAAAGGGAAAAACAGAAAAAAATGCATGGAAGAAAGAATCAGCACAATAATGAGAATCCAGTGCGTCTGGAAGTTCACAAAGAGTAAATTCTAAACAATTTAATTCTTTGATAAGCGCTGATGAATTAGTGATAAACTGCGTCATAAACAGTTACTTATGCTTTTTGTTACTAATCCAAATAATGAAATTATAGATGAACTTCTAGTTCTAATTCACTACGAGCATTCGTTTTCAAGACTGAGTAACAAAGTTTATAAAGGCGATTTCATTTAGCACAATGATAAAAGCTTGAATTGACAGAGATTTTATATTTTTCAGTCAGACACATTAGACTAAGTCTAATACTTATGATTCGAAAGTAAGTGCAGTACCATAAGCAGCATAATTTTTGAGTATTTTCTCAAAAACCTCTATTCGTTTTTGACTTCTGTTGACAAAAAGGATAAGATATCGTCATCCTTTCACAGTGGCATTGAAATGAATAATATTAATGCAGGACCTATGACCAATGTATAGTAGTCTTATATATCACACCTTATATCTTCTTATTAAGTGGGAAAAAATGCAAATTAAAACAAGGAGTCCAAAATCGGTGGTTCCAGAAGTAACAAAATGGTACAATGTAGATTTCCTCCTGAATCGATATCAGTTACAAACCACACTGATGTCGGTTCGTGACAAAATAGTCATTTAAGTTGGCTGAATCTCTTTAAACTTAACCTTTAGAAGTTCTACAAAACAAAAGAAGAAAAAAGAAAACAAAAATGGAGTGCGGTACCACCTCTAAAATAAGTTTACTGATTGAATAATTCTGTATTACTGTGCGTCTGTGGCATAGTGGTTAGGACTCTCGCCGACCATGCAAATGGTCCGAGGTTCGAGCCCGCACCGACGCACACCTGATATCTATGGTCGGCCTGCGAAATTTGGGCTACCGATATCCATGCTGAAAATTCTATACTTGTACCAAAAATACAGTGTGGAATCAAGCTGTAAATCAAAAAAATTAATTTAATCGTATCCATTCAAAGTTGTCAGTCATAATTTTCTGTCATCATACAGATTATAACAGGACACGAATTGTCACTGAGGGTCAATAGCGTGATTTCTTTTAGTCTCTGGTCTCATCCTACTTTCTTCAGCAAACCACGTGTAGGCATTCGGTTGTTAGATATGAGTAGCACGTGCCCCAGACATCTAAGTCACCTTTAGTGACTAAATAAGTGGCCTTACTTAAAACTTTATTTCTGTATCAACGTTCAGCGAACTGATTTTTCAACTTAGAGCTTGGAAAGAAAACACCAGAGGAATTCCTTCAAGTTCGATAGATGCATAAATCGATAGACTTTCATGGTTTAGCACGAAGTCTTGAGTGATTTGGTATGTTTCTCGAAACCAAAGCTCGTTGTGATATAGGCCTAATTGTGTCTCTTTGATTTTATTTTCACACAGGAGAATATTTGTGTTCGAATTAGCGTGTATGGAGAGGAAATTTGTCGATTTGGACTGCTTTACTACTTGTAAGCTAGCAGTATAAGTATCCTCGAACCTCTGTGAGCACCTATTTGCTAAGCAATTTTACAGTCATTACAATCATTTCATCTACTTATCTTCGAATCTTACAGACGTTTATAATCATGATCAATTTTAAAATGAAAAGGTATTATAAAGTTAAACACTCTATAATGCCAAAAATCGATGGCAATTGTAATATAAGATAGAGCGGTATTAGGTTGAAATCCACTCATTAAGAGGCTTCCTTATAATGGAGTTTGTATGCGTTTTCAGCCTCAGCGATGCCTGATCTATCAGACTATATTGATCGCTTTTTGTTAGTTAAGCCATCATGAAGTTGATGAGAATTAGTAATGGAATGAAAGGTTCACATCTTTCTTGTTTGAGACGTGATTTCTATTTACGCTTAAATTTAATTGTTGATGACTCCCTTTCAAATGTATATAACATTGTGGTATTTAACATGATTATCACTGGATTCCATAGCAGTTGGTTAGTCTTAAACTAAATGAAGTGTACGCATTTTAATTTGCAGTTGGTATATTTTTAACTGCCCCTCTGGATTTCCCATTTTCATACTTTTAAGGAGCATCAGTTCTCCCTACACTGTAGTGGATACACCATTTAGATAAGGGCCAGCAAACGGGAAACTTGAATTCCATTCGTTGCCTTTAACTACCTGGCATATCTTAGCTGAATCTTTTGTGACAGTGAATAGTATTTATTTTATTTTTAAACACTAAAACGCTTTCTGTCTTTATTCGTTTTCATCACGTAAATATGTGACATATTTATTAATGTTTAGTGCTTAAAAACATGCACTAACTAAGACAAAACAGTTGTCTAATTGATATGTAGTAATTTACTGTAATTGTAGTGTTAGTATTTCGAGATGACCGAATTACACGAATCCAACCAAAACACAGAGAGGGCGGAATTCAGGAATTTGTATTTAGCGGAATTATTATGCCATTCATATATGAAACATATTAGCAATCAACAGTAAGTACTTAAACAATACAGAGATAGAAATTGTCAATCACCACATCCGCCACACCTCGAATATCTCCTTGCGTATTTATAACGATGTCTCGGTTTGCTTGCAAGTAGCTGCGACCTTCTAACTGATTCTGTGATATTATCTTCATCACTGTTATCTGGACTTATTTCAGAATTATCTACAAAATCAGGATTAGTAGCGGAATTATTAATATTATAATTGTAATGACCTACTTCATTTATTTTCACTTGATCCAGGTGTCTGTTATGAACTGAGTGATCTTTGATGTCTAATATCTTCACCACTCGACTTCCCATTTTTTGTAGTATAATTCCAACAGAAGGTCTATAGTCATTCCGTTTGTAATAATGTACATTAGAAGTCGTGGACATCAGATGCTTTTTGAGAATTCGAGATTTGAATAGTTTTGCAGGACTTTCACGGGTACTTGTATGCTCTGAATTCAACAGACGCAGTCTATGCATATGCAGCAATTCCTCCATTTTAATCAGTTGCTCTCTCATCTCATTCAGTTCTTCTCGTGTTTTCGACAGTTCACATTGTAACTCGGCTACCACATTTTTGAAAACAGTTGACACTTGAGTTGCCGAACTTGTAGTGGAGGTTTTCATTGGATGAGATTGAGTATTTTGAAAGGTTGAAAAACACATTGACTCCATTTAACTAGACAGATTGGGAGAATTATAAGAATGTTGAGCAACATAAGTATTCGAACTTCTGCAAACAGTCTTGATGTGTCCAACTTTACCACATTTGTGACACGTAGCACCTCGAAAACGGCAAGTGCTTCGTAGATGTAACTTTTCACAGGAAAAACACGGTTTAATGTTTTTGATCTCTGGCTGCATTCTATTACCTGTGGACGGCAGTTTGGATTGCTTTCCATTACCACTTGTATTTTCGACTTTAGAAAGCATGACATCAGATACTGACGTAGTGGGAGCAGAGTATTCATTATTGACATCTTCATATGTAATACATAAATCTTTAGCAGTTTGAAAGGTACACGAAGGAATCTGAATTAACTCTTTCTCTAACTTAGTAATATTGATTCCAGCAATTAGACGATTACGTAGTTGAGTATGCAGCTGATCTCCAAAGTTACACTTTGAGGCTTGAATTTGGAGTTGAAGAATAAAGTCTCTGATCTTCTGGTTGGGAGCACGAACCAGTTTGTTGAATTGAGCCCTCTCTCGCGTCTCAAAAGTAGTTATATGGAAGTGATTTATCAGAAGTTCACGGAGCTTAGCATATGGCAGAGAAATTGGTTTATCTGGAAACGACAGAGTCTTCACTATGCTATACGCATCTAGCCCAATAGCAGTGATGAAATGTGCTGGTATTTTGTCATCCCGAACATTTTTTGAAATGCACCACGCATCGAAGCATTCCAAATAATCAGCAATCTCCCGCGGAGTAGCATTTATAGGAAAACTTCCCAGGTTATTTAGTTCCATCGCGACGCCAATTTGTAGTAATTTATTGTAATCGTAGTATTAGTATTTCGAGATGACCGAATTACAAGAATCCAACCAAAACACAGAGAGGGCAGAAGTCAGGAATTTGTATTTAGCGGAATTATTATGCCATTCATATATGAAACATATTGGCAATCAACAGTAAGTATTTAAACAATACAGAGATAGAAATTGTCAATCACCACAGCCTCCTTCTAGAGTCATTTGAACATTGATGGGAGTAAAAGTAGCTCAAAGCTAAAATTGGAGGGTAAAGCTTTATTGTTTAACGCAATGGATGTTTTGCATCGACGAAAGCCAACATGTCTGGTTAATACCAGTGTCCTTATTTTCTATTCCAAAACTGACTGATTAATAAATGCAGTATACCTTAGCATAAGTGTGCAGCACTTCAAGTTGACACATTTCGGAGAAGTGTACAAAACAGAAGGAGAGAAAAGCACAGTATTGTGATAGACAAGAATAACTCCAAAAAAGAGAACAGTCCAGTGAGAACTAGTGAATTGTTTCAGAATCAGTAAGAAGATAAGGAGCTCAACTAGTCCATAATGAACTACTTTTAGCTATATCACCAAATGCTTTTATCCACTGATTCTGGGGCTTCAAGCGGAACCCGAGTGGGTTGGTGGTCCAAGGACGATATGGAGAAGATAATCAATATAGGGAATTAAAGTTTGTGGAAAGTAGTGCAGACGGTTCAAAGTGGTATCAGAGAATGGAGTACAACTGAGGTGTGCCACTGAAGATGTGTGTTCCCCATCTCAAAGCAAGGAGTGGATAATAATAATAGTAATGATAACTGTTTCTTAGCTTTGTGAAGATGCGTGTTTGGTTGCCTACAAAGTTTTACATGATTCAGCCTAAAAATAAACGACTTCAAGATGCGATGTCATATTTTTATCTGACTACTTTTAACTCCCATGCAACCTAATCTGACTTCTAATAATATCGTTCATAGGGGATGGCAGTCACTCATCATGCAAACCACCTGTTATCAACTAATAGAGCCTCCTTACTCAAATTTCGCTTCTTAAGTAACTGGATACCACACCTGAGCAAAAAATGACAGATTTTGGCGGTTACAAAAAAAGCACTTCGAATTTTATTGAACGCAAGGGTTAGAAAGGGTTTGTATATCTTAAAAATAATCTCCTAAGACCACAGAATATTTTAAGAACCTTTAAATTAGTGCCAAAACTGAAATGGCTCCTAACTCTTTACTTCCAGGTGTTATTCATCCCTGTTTGCTAATAGATGTGTCTTATCTACGCTTTCAGTCGCTTGACAGAAACTACTAATAAATTCTTTGGATTCAGATTTTTAACATCTGGATATCTTCCAAACCTGAAAAACTGTTTCTGTCTATAGTTGGAGAAATACTGAAAAGCAAAGAGCACTGAATAGCTAAATTTTCCAAGTTTAGGATTTGAAGGCATATATACACCCTCATAAGTGCTACAAGTCGAAAGAAGGACAGTCAGACGGTGAGGCAAGCAGGCTATTTTTCATCCATCTAGTCGGTTTTATCTCACAATATGCCATAAATGAAGTCTGTAGGACTGTGTGAACACACAGTGGGTAATTCTCGGGATAGGGCGAAACGGCTGTTCAAATACTACACCTACTTCCAAATTAATCAGGCCTCTATGCATTTCATTCTAGAATTTGAAATGTAAATCACCAATGATTGTGTGAAATAAACTGTAGTATTGCTGATACTACTGACTACTACTTTCAGTAATAATAGTGGGTTGCTAATATTATAAGGTGAGTTTTTACCGTATATTGTGTATATTCAAAAAAGTAATATTACAAGTAAACCGAAGCACCACTACTTTCGAATATTTTTAGGTAACCAAAGAAGAGTTCTTCAACTATTACACTGGTATCAGTGCATCAGTTGACAATGACGCATATTTCGACTTGATGATACGACAGGCGTATAAAATCTAAGCTGAACACGAACACGTTAAATTTGGTGAATAAGTGCACAGTTCTGCACATGTATACATGTGCATATATATGTGTATATATAACTATAAATGAGGAATCTTTTTACGGGTGCTACTAGGTTGTGTTTGTTTTAGTTTGCTGTGTCGGTGTTCAGCTGTATTGTAAATTCTGTAACGTTGATGTTACCTTGATAAGGGGTGTCCAATTTTGTTTATCACACAAAGGGTGTATACAAAAAGTGGTGATTATTCAAACACACAACGCACCATTGATAACTTGAACACAACTTATTAATTTTCGGAATAATCCATAATTTACTGCAACAAATGGAGTTAACTGGCGTTTTGCATATTTTGAAAAATTAATTATATCGGTGAAAATGGTGCATCAAATTGGAAATAAAACATCTAGACAATTTCTGCAAGTAGTTACAAGCTGGATTTATTGATTGGTCATTAGATAGTAAGCAGTGTCAGGATTCTGTCTGGCTCTTAGTGATGTTAGTGACTGAAATCTATCAGTCACGTTTACAATTTGGTGGCCAAGCTAAGTGACTCTGATTAGTTAAGTGGTTATATGTCTGGTTGTAGCGCTGATTGACGCGTGTTCGAAAAGACATTAACTCCTTCAAAGTTGCAAATCCCCCTTCCCCTTGATGAATTCTACCAAGCCCAAAATCTAGGTCCACAGCTTTCAGTCATTGAAAATAGGCTGAAGATAGAGACTATACGTTTCAATCCAGAATGCAGGTTAGGTGTAACCAAATGAATTTTCATTTGTGAGTCAGTGTGTTAGGTGGTGTTTTAGTACAGCAGGCTCCTAGAACTTATTTTTCAGCCCGTATATAGTCTCTCTTCACTAGCTGACTTGTATAGACAAAATATATCTTGAATTACTTCACTTCAACTTTCAGTCACTAGATTGCAAGTCCTGAGATCTTGTACCTTGACAGTGTTATTTTCCTCACTAGGCATCTACGTGTGCCTCTAAAAAAATGTATAAATATTTTTCAAGATATTGACATCATGATTTATTTTGATGAAACTAAACCAATTAAGTAATTGGTTAGCTAGTTGACAATGGGAATTCGTTGATATGATGTCACTTAAGTTGAAGATCTAAATCTGTTGCACTGGTGTTATCGTGTGCACTACCGATTCTAAGATGTCACAAGACGTCAGTAGTCCACCTTTTATACTTGATTCAGATAATACGAATGTTAACATTTTCATACCGGTGATAAAACAATTGGGGTAGTTTTTGTGTCTCAAGTTGAAACGAAACTTGGATCACTGCAGGATTCGAACTAGAGGTCTAGAATGACCTACCAACTAAAAAACTCAGTACCTTCAACTACTACTACTACTACTCATTACATGCAGCAATGTCCCAGACAGTTTCACCAGGAATATTATTTTGATAAACAATATCTTAGTAGGCTACTTCTCAAT